TCTTTCCAGCTGTCTGGTCTGAAATTTTGGATGGGAAGTTATCTACTCTTTTACTTGGGAAATGGTAGAGTGTTAGACCTGAGGGTTGTCCCTTTAGAGAAAAGTTGAGAAGTTTTGTATCAAAGATGTGCAAACACCACATTTTGGGTGGTAATTGCTGTCTTTATGTTATAAGGACTGAACCCAGTTGGTCAAGATATTTAAGTGGAGGGTTCATAGAGTCCTACCCGCTGCCAAGTCTAACTCTCTCAGGACAGTTTCTCAACAAGTAGCCCAGAAATTGGGCTACATTAATCATAGCACATTTAAAGCTGCACAGCTGTGTGGTCTAATGAAAATCCTGCAGCTTACCTCAAAGCTACCAGAAAAGTATGGGTGGCTCATCACACTGACAGAGGTGATACCTAAATGAATCCTTTTCTCCTCAAAACAGTTTTCTCTTTACTAAACTCTAGATATTGTGAGAAAATAATAACACACCAAGTTCAAACTTAACAATAACAAAGGAATGACAAGGCACATGTTTAAATGGAGTGATTATCTTTTTAAATAACAAAACAATTAGTGTTAATTCACACTGAACTGCCCATAAATAGTATGATATGCATACTACTTCTCTCTCTCTCTCTGTTTCTTTTTGTTGTAACACACATGCATTCTCCAGTGAGAGACAAAGACAGAGAGAGAAAGTGAGAAATCTGCCCCAACATGGGACAGCCACACCATAATACCCTCTCCTCTGCACACGTTTGGGATGTTTTTCAAGCTGCCAAGCAGTTGACCATGTGCGACCCAGGTGCCTTAACCTCCATGCCACCAGTTGTTTCAGTATTTTTAATCCTGGGCTGAGAATTATTAGTTGTGTGATTTGTGGGCATATTATCTCTCTCTAAAACAATCAAACTTAGAAGTCCTAAGAACTTGGTAATAATCCTCAATATATCTTGATAGACCTTGATAGCATCCAGTGATGCTACTTGAACAAAGTTAGACCTTTTTCACTTACATCAGACTCAGGGGTAAATACACACTCGTGAACACATGTATAAATTGATTCAAGGGCTAGTCAGTACTGGTATTACAAAAGTCCCTCCCTATAACCTGGAAAGTGACCTGAAATTCAATAAAAATTACACACAACCTATTTATAAAATTGTGTATGTTCACATCTTTCATATGACTATAATTTAATTGCAAACTCTCAAAAGGGGTCTAATCTTAATATTCTGCCAAAAGGAAGTAAACTTTCAAATTGACGTAGTCCTTGTGAGGTAGCTCCATGTTTCACTCAAACCCCTGACCTATCCCAAATCCATTGCATCATATATTTTTTATCCATAGTTCCCAACAAATACCTGGCTACAGAGTAAGCATATTCATACTGTTCTATAAACTTTTTTAGATTTTTTTTTTTGAGAGGTTTTTGCTATAGGGTGCGTGCGCTCGCCAGACAGACAGAGAGAGAGAGAGAGAGACAGAAAGCAGGAAGTCACCCCCCAGGGGGGATGGCCATGCCACAATCCCTTCTCCTCCATTCTCCTCTTGGGATCTTGGGCGTGCACGTACGTGTGTCCTGCATGAGTTTAAGCCACCGGGTCCAGGACTCGAACCACAGTCGACTACGTGGAGTCCAGCGACATAGCCATTATGCTAACTGCCGGTCCCCTTTTCGTAGTTTTTAAGATCACTTACATAGAGAAGATGATCTATAGCATACATAATATGGTTTAAACAAATAAATACCTGTATGCCCAGAACCCAGCTGATTAACTCACAAATATGTCCCTAGAAGTAAACCATTACCCCTAGGTTGTAAGAATCATTTCTTTGCTTTACTTTCTAGCTTTATTACATATGTATGAGTTTTTAAGCAACATATTATTTAGATTTGCTGTTTTTAGTTTTACTTCTATGAATGTGGAGTCATCCTGAATATATTCCTTGGAGGCTTGTTTCTTTCATTCAGCATTATGTTCCTGAGATGCATCATTGTTACTGTGTATAACTAGGTTTTTTCTTTTCCAACTGTTTCAGTGTTCCATTGTGTGAATGTACTGTAATGTATTTATCCTTTCTCCTGTTGAGGGTCATCTGGATTGTATCCACCATTTTCTGTTACAAGTAATAAAGCCATGAAGTTAAAAAAAAATGAACTTAATAAAAACATACATTCTAGTACACGTGTCTGAATTTCTGTAGGGAATATATTTATGAGTGGCATTTCTGAATCCTAGCAATTCCAAATGTTTGTACCAAGTTACACTCCCACCAGCAGTGTATGAGGTTTCCATTGGGCCATATCCTTTCCAGTACTGTCTACTAGTGTTAAACTTTTTAATTTTTGCCAGCCTGGTGGGTGTAACATAGTATCTCACTGTGGTTTTAATTTGCATTTTCCTGATTATGAATCACAGTGAAGTTTTATGTGAAATGAATTAAAATTTTCCTCTGAAACATTTGTTTCTGGTTGAGTAGCAATGACTTGATGTTCTAGAATTATAGTCAAACCACTTTTTTGTTTATAATTATTTAAGAGAAGGACTGAGTCTTTTGGTTAAGTGGCCCAGGGAAAGAAAATAATATATTTTATTATCTTAAAATTGGGGATGTACGAACAGCATTTTACGAACAGCATTTTAAAATCATGAACAAGAACACAGTTTGAAGATGCCTAGTACCCTACCTTTAATTTTGTTTCTTTTATTCAAAAAAAAACATATCAAATAGATATCAAAATCACCTTTGAAAAATAAAAAGAAAAAAATCTATTTGGGATGTGTGTGTGTGTGTGTCTGATTTAAACAAATCTGTTGAATATTTAAAAATCACTCATGGAGCTTACAGTTCGACTGAAAATGACTGTGTCTTTTTCTCCTGTTGTAAAAAAATATTTCCTATATGTCAACACATCTTAGAAGGCATTGGGTTTGTTATCTTTCATGCAATTTCTTATTTTGGAAACCACTTGATTACCTTTATAGCCATCAATTAAATTTAAATATATTTATTCGAGATTCTAATTTCCTCTTAACAAATATAGTTAGGTTTGTAGTTTTTATTTAGCTTAATTGTGCTTCACCATGGCAGCATTACATTGAGAAGGTGTTGCTCTTATTCTTAGTATTTTTTTTCTGTTTTCAGGATGTAGTTGATTTTGACGTTATTGTCCAGTCTCTTCATCCAATGATGCTACTTGAACAAAGTTAGCTCTTTCTTTTGCATTTTCTCTAGGTATCTTTATTATTTCCTTTAAGGCTTTATAATGTTTTCTTTGTAGCCTCACTTCTTGGATATTCATATTTTTTCAATATAGATACTGATAGTTTTCCAAATAAAGTGATAGTAAGTGCAGGCTGACACATACACTAATTTCATTAATATGTGCAATACATTTACACACCAAATTTAATTCATCAATACATTTTTCTGATAGGCAGAAGGGACCATTATATGCCCCAAACACCAAAACAGTGGAAAGACTCTTTGATAGCAAGTTCAGTTAGGATAAAAAAATTAAATTTCTAGAATCATGCAGAAAAATCTAACATTCTTCAGTCATTTCTATTTGTAGTTGCGTTTTCTAGGAAGTTGGGAAAATAGTCAAAATAAACTTCAACTTTGAACCTGCTGGATTCCATATATATTTCACTAAAGCCTGAGACTGAAAAAGTTGTTTTTTTTTTCCCCAAAATAAGTTTCAGAATATTCTAATTCTAGATACATATGGTTTCTGCTAATATATAAATACACATCTCTTTAGAACATGATCCTAATTATAACATATATCACAAAATTCACAATGATACATAATAAATTTTTAAAATATGCAAAGGTATAGAAATTTACAAAGTAATTAAAATTGGGTTTGGATTCACAAAAGATTTGAATGTAGATTTTTTTAAAAAATAAGCTTTCTTAATATGTTTAAGTGTTCACATAAACATCCATATTGACATTATATAAAGGAATTCTAGGCAATAACTCAGGTTATTATTTGACATAAAAGCAAACTGATGCTTCAGAATGGGGTAAGGTCAATAAAAGCCTTTCAAGTTGCAATATGGATTTAGGAAAAAAATGATAAACACAGAATTGATGCTTTTGAAGTTCTGCAAGTCCTAATACCTTGTAAATGGAAAGCAAGGTAAACTAGGCCATAGCTATAGCTCACCTCCAACATTAGTTTGAGCTTGAGATATACGTAAAACACATTTTTATATGTTCAGTCTTTTGTTCAACAGTGGACAAATCTAATTCAGTAAGGAGAGTTTAAATTCAATACTGACGCAATCTAGCCTTTAGGTCCTTTGACCAAGTCCCTGGCCACTCTTTGCCCTCACTCACTCAATGTGACTATGATGGTCCCGCTTCTGTACTTGACCAACCAAGTCTCACCTGCCTCTAGACCATCGACCCAGTCATCTCTTCTTGCAGAGACAGTATTTCCTCTGAACACTTCATGGCATGCTCCCTTACTTCAGTTCACTGCGTAAATGTCATCTCTCCAGTGAGGTATTTCATGATCTTTCTGTCTAATATATCACCGTCATACCTTCCTCCCCATACTCCTTCATCCTGTTTTATGTTCATTCATAGCATTTGTCAAAGACATTTATACATTTATTTGTTTATTATTTGCTTTCTCCTTATACTATAAGCTGAATGAGAGCAAGGACTTCTGTATCCTTATTGCAAGGAGCCCTACACACATGGATTTCATCTCCTAGTGCTAACACCTTGAATGACAGGGATGCTTCCTCTGTGTTTGCGTCCCTTTGAATACTCCTTCTGAAGACTTAAGATACCAAAGTTCTTGATTACTTCCAGGTTTGCATGGTGGCAACCCAAATGCACCTGATATACCTTCTCCCAACTTTCTACTTAATGCCCTATTTAAAATATACATTGTTATAGTATATCACATTACGTTAAATTCTGTAAAATACCAATATCCATTAATAACTTTACCAAATTCACAGGCATGTTCTCTTGTTATCCAGGGTCCTACGATGGTACACCAGCCACTTGTGCTGCCACCTGTGAAAACTGTGGATGGTCCTACTTTCAGGTATTATATACATTTCAGATAATTCATGACCTAAAGAAACTCCATGTTGGATTTCAAATAAAGCCAAATTAAGAATAGTGAGAAATATTATATAGTATATAGTTACTGGGCCATTGGAAAAGCCATGACACATTTTTACTTAGAAAAACAGAAAAAAAAAAAAAAACTAGATCAAAACTTTTCTGATGACTCAATGATTTCTGAATAAAAGAAAACCTTGAAAGATAATCTAACAAACTACTCTTTAAAATGTAATTGCAGACATCTGTCATACTTTAAAAATTATTTCGTTAGGACCTTGGGGAATAGAACTAGCCTCCATGTTCTTGTTTTCTTGGCTAGAGGACCAGGTGTATGAACTGAATTTCCATGTGTCTTACCAGATTTTGTAATATTAGCTACAGAGGTATGTGTGTGTGTGTGTGTACGTATATACACACACACATATATATAGTATAAAACTTACTCTAACCACATATGTACATTTACAGAAAAATTTTTCCTTAATGTTATAAAATAATAGGATTAGGTTGTTCATTTGAACTAAATTACTTTCTCTGTAGCTTTTTTTTTTTTCTCTGTAGTCTCATTCCCATAGTCAGGGTCTACTCCTAAAATAAACATAAAACTTTATTGTAATTAGAATATAATTACACTTATTTAATAAATAAAAGTACAAGATAATGAGGGGGATTATTTTAAAAAGTTTAAACTACTCTAAATACTATTTTAAAACTACCAGGCAAAACAGTTTCAATTTTAATCCTAGGCATTAACTACAGACTTCAGGGCGATTGGTGCTTCCAAAAATGACTACTGTAGCAGACGGATGTGTCTTCTTATTTATAGTTGGCATTACAGCACATGGCAAACAAAATGCTAATTCTGCAACTATTAATATATTTTATAGCCCCCTTTCCTACAAAATTAAAGTATATTTCCTGCCTGTCTTATTTTCAGACTGCAAAATATTTATCAATTCATTCATGTCATTCTAATAGACTCTCATAACAATACAAAGTAAAAGCTACTGAATAATTTTATCTTAAATTCAAAGCTAGGTGAGATCATTCCTTCTTCTGTACTTGAGCTGTGACTTAAATGCTTAAGTGATAC